CTGTTGGTCTGTTTCTAGTTGTTGAAGATGTTGTGTCAATGTGTTAATTTTGATAATTTCTAATTGTACACATTTATCGCAATAAATAGTCCTCTCAGCACTGCTTTCACCATGTCCCAAAGATTTCGGTATGTTGTGTTTTCGTTCTTGTTTGTTTCTAGGAACTTTCTGAATTCATGTTTAATGTCTTCTATTATTCAATCTCTCTTCAGCAGGGTGTTATTCGGTCTCCATGTATTAAACTTTATTTCCTTGGTCTTCTTATTGTTGATTTCTAAGTTTATGGAATTGTGGTCTGAAAAGATGCTTTGTAGTATTTTGATGTTTGTAAATTTATGGAGGCTTGCTTTGTGACCTAACACATGGTCAATTCTGGAGAATGTTCCATGTGCACTGGAAAAGAATGTATATTGTGCTGTTGTTGGGTTGAATGCTCTGTACACCTCTATGAGTTCAAGTTAATTGGTTGTGCTGTTTAGTTCCTCTGTAGCTTTATCAAGTTTCTTTCTGGTTGTTCTATCCCTTTTCGAAAGTGGCATATTAAAACGCCCACTATAATTGTAGATTTATCTATTTCTTTCTTCAATTCTAGTGGGGTTTGCTTTATATATCTTGGTGCTCTTTCATTTGGAGCATAGATGTTAATTATGATTATGCTATCTTGTTCAATTGATTCTTTAATCATGAGATAGTGTCCTTCTTTATCTCTTATGCTGGTTTCACCTTAAAGTTTATTTTATTGGAGATTAGTATTGCCACTCCATCTTGTTTTTTATTGCTGTTAGCTTGGTATTTTTTTTCCATCCTTTAACTTTTAGTCTGTTTTTGTCTTTGTGTGTAAGGTGTGTCTCTTACAGGCAGCATATTGAAGGGTCTTGTTTTCTTATCCATTCAGCCACTCTCTGTCTCTTCACTGGTGCATTTAATCCATTGACATTCAGTGTAATTATTGATATATATGGATTAACTGCTGTCATTATGTTAATTTTTTGTTGTACTATTTGTTCCTTTGTTCTGAATGCCTTCTTGTGTTGCATTCATGGTTTTTTGTGCTATTTCTTGTCGATTTCTTCTTTGTTTTAATGTTTCTTTGTTCTGCTTGCATCTTCATTTTCGTGGTAAGTTGTGAAGTATTCATTTTCTTTGGGGTCACCCTATAGTCTTAAATTTTCCCTGTGTTTAAGACAGTCTATTGTATCCTGCCATCTACTCGACCTCCTCACCTCCTGGTTCTTTGATATTGTTAATATTTTGATCTTTGGTTGGCCTCAAAGGTTTTTTTGATTTCCCTTCTTTAATATTGTTAATATTTTGATATTGATTTTGATTTCCCTTCTTTGATATTGTTAATATTTTGATCTTTGGTTGGCCTCATAGGTCCTCTGAATTCATTGCTGTAATTTTGTTCCATTCTGAATTCTACCATCCATTGATCGAGTTACAGGTGGTGTTGCCATGTCTGTCAATCTCTGGTTGTTGTCTGTTCTTGCTGGTTTTCATTCCAAAGAACTCCCTTTAGAATGTTTTGAAGTGCTGGATTGGCTTTAACAAAATCTCTAAGCTTCTGTTTGTCCTAGAATGTTTTGATTGCACCATTATATTTGACTGACAGCTGGATAGATGATTCTTGGTTTGCAGTTTTTTTTTTTTCTTTTAGGGTTTTATATATGTCTCCCCATTGCCTTCTTGCCTGCATGGTTTCTGCTGAGAAGTCAGAGCTTAATCTTATTTGCTTGCCTTTGTAGGTGGCATACCTCTTTTCCCTGGCTGCTTTTAGGATTCTCTTCTTGTCTTTGATTTTGGAGAGCTTGATTATGATATGTTTCCGTGATTTTCTTTTGGGGTCTATCCTTTCTGGGTTCTTTCAGCTTCTTGAATATTTATCTTCTTGTCCTTCAAGATGTGAGGAAATTTTTCTTCCAGAAGCTCTTCACCTATCTCTTCTGTGGACTTTTGTGATTCTTCCTGTTCTGGAATGCCAATAATTCTTAAGTTATTCCTCTTCATGTTATCCAGCATGGATCTTAGACTCTCTTCAGATTTTTCAATCTTTTTTTCTGCTTGGTCTCCTATCTTAGCAGTATTGAGAGATTTGTCTTCCAGCTCATTGGTTCTGGCATCCATCTCTTCCCTTCTGCTCCTTTGCCCTTCCAGTGTATTGTCCATTTCTGATATTTTATTATTAATCATCTGGGCTTCTTTTTGCCAGTTTGGATTGTTTCCAATGCCATAACTATCTTGTTTGATTGCTCCTGTAGCATTTGTCTAAGTTACTTTTTTCTGTTTTTGGACATGTGTTGATATCTTTAATTGTGTTTTATTGGATTTTTTCAACAGCTATGTGAGTTTTTAATGCTTAAATGGATGTATGTTCCTTTGTTGTTAACCTTACTGAGTATCCCCTGGTGGGTATGCTCTGGAGCTAGGCTTCCCTTTTCACATGTAATGCCTAGCAGCTGGTTTTGGCTCTTGTCCAGATGGTGGGGTACTACAGGGTATGTTTGTAGCTTGGCTATATGGGCACAGTTGCTATCTCTTCTTGGGTAAGATAGGGGTAGAAAGCTGTAAACCCTAGGAAAAGAGTGAGGCCAAAAGGACCAAAGGCAGAAACAATATAAAAGCAGAGTCAGAAAACACCAGTCAAAAACAAAAATAAAATTGTGATTGACACTGTTCACTGGCCTTTGCTTTGCAAAGGGTCCTGCCTATGTTAACTATGGGGCTGGTTTCCAGGGTCAAAACATCCTAAGAAGAAGTCTGTGGGTTTCCTCTCTGTGCTGTTAGAATACTGTGGGTGCAATGCTGGACCCTTTTGGGGGTGTACTCCTGCCCACCTGAAGGCATCTGGGCTGTGCAGTGAGGGTTGATCTGGGTGAAGAAGAGAGATATGTGAAAAATGAAAGTGAAAGATAAAAAATCAGTCACACCTCTCCCTTCAGACATGCAGCTCCATGGCTTCTAGTGCTGGGTCACTGCCTCAGCTTGACGGTGGCCCTGCCATCCGTACTGAGGACTTCTGCCTGCTGGCCGCAGCAGCTGGATCAATTCAGAAATCACTGTATTTTGCTTCTACCATCAGATTTCTTCTCAATGGGCACAGGGAACTGGCGCCTGTAACCTTAAATGATATCCAAAGCTCTGCAGGTTTTCTGCAGACCACTCTTTCTCTGCTTTTTTTTGGTTTGGGCAGAGGAGTTTTCACTGTCTCTGCTTTCCCCACCCCCAAAGTGGAAGTCAAACCCATAATGTTTTGATGATTCATCTTTAAAATGATACCATTCTGTCTTTTTAAAGGGTTGCTTTGGTAGTGAGTAAAATAATTAGAAGAAAGTTATTTAAACACTGTAAAATACCACTTAAACGTAAGGCTACTTATAATTATGTGAAACTGGGAAAAGTCCATACTTTGTGAAATAAATGGTAAAAATATGTTATATTAAAGTACAAAGCAGTAAAACTATCTAGAATTAGTATATGGAAAAATAAACATATTTAAGCCATGCTAAGTAAAAAGAGTGGTGAGAAACTCACATCTTGGGTGGCTACAGTTGGGATATCACAAATACTAATAGCAATGTTGTTGTTGTTAAGTGCTGTCAAGTCGGTTCAACTCATAGAGATGCTGTGTAGGGTTTCCAAAGAGTGGTTGGTGAGTTTGAACTGCTGACCTTGCAATTAAAACAGATCTTATGGTGGAGTGCTTATCGTACAGTGCCACACCAGGAAACCAAATAATGGCAATAGGCAATGTTATATGGAATGATTACAATATGCCAGTTACTGTGCTTCTGATGGATTTTTTTTTTTTTTATCATTTAATTCTCACAACAGCCTGTGAATTAAATGCTGTTTCTCTTCTCATTTTACATATGAAGTTATGGATGCTTCGGGAAATTTCATTACTTGTTGAGTCACATTAAAAATCAGGTTTCATATTATTTCAACCGGTTCTACAATTGCAGTTCCCACCTATTATTACTACAGTTATTCAATAGCACTAAGTATGTTTGTTTATATTCTGTTTACTTTTCCCCAGGTGAACATACACACGTGGAGTTCCTTGAAGCCTTTGTGTTCTCATGTGACTGAACATTTTGTGATAAAATCAGGGACAGCCAGTCTCATCTATAAGGAGTCAGTGTCTTCATTGCTGAGCAGATGTATGAAATGTACTCGGAAAAGCTGTTTGATTTCCTTTTACCTTTCAACTAACAGCAAGCCCTTGGGCCCAACCAACTATCACTTCCTATCCTCACCGAAGGAGGCTGTGGGGCTCCAGAAGGCACATATCACAGTAAGCACTAGAGTCTTCTAGAGTCCTGGGCTAGTGACCAGCAGGTGGTATATTGCTCCTTGTAGAGTTCCCATTGGTACTAAGCTTACCTGAGGCATGGGGAAGACTGACTCCCTTCCCACCGGAAGTAAAGACCAAATGATTTTTATTTCTACCTAGCATTTGTCAAAGTGGTGTGTTACTGCCATTCCTGCTGTCACATCATCGTTCCCTAGAGGGATGGTGACACAGTAATCAATCATACTAGTCATCACTGTCTGGTTGATCTTCCACTAGGTTCCAATTACTGCCCTAGGTGCTTTACTGTCTCATATCTGATTTTCTTAACACTGCTGAAGTATTATAACCTACAGTTTATAAATAGAAAAAAAAAAAAAAAAAAAAAAACAGTATGGAGAGGTTAAGGATTAAGGATTCTCTTGAAGGTCCTGTACTCAGAAAGCATTGGAACACAGTTGAAACACTCTGATTTTGAGTTTTCAAGTACAGTCTATTAATATTCACTCTACTCTCTTTGATTTATTGCTTCCAAGTAGCTTAATCACCAGATCGCTTTATAATTGCCAAGAACAAAATGGGATGATCAGGACATGTTGTTATAAACATTGTGCAGCTGGAGGATTTGAAATCTGTCTAGTTGATTGAAACCCTTTCCTTCTTACACATAGTAATTGAAAATATTTTTCTAGGTTTCATTCTCTATTCTCAGTGAATTTTAAATTTGTTTTCCATGTTTATTTCATTGAGAAGGCTTAAGGGTTTTTTACATTTACTTTAAAAATGTTGTTGTTAAGTGCCATCAAGTTGGTTACAACTCACAGTAAGCCTGTATAGGTTTCCAAAGAGCCACTGGTGGGTTTGAACCACTGACTTTGTGGTTCAAATCAGCCTTGCAGTTCAGTGCTTTATCTTACAGCACAAAAAAGAACTATATAAAAATGGTTTGCCAGACTGCAAGGTCGGCGGTTCAAGCTCACCAGCTGCTCCTTGGAAACCCTATACAGGGTCGCTATGGGTCGGAACTGACTCGATGGCACTTCACAACAACAATAAAACCTTAGCAAACATGATATGCTTCTCCAGCGACTGGTTCCTCCTAACAGTATGTCCGAAGTATGAGAGACGAAGTTTGGCCATCTTGGCCTCCAAGGAACACTCTGGCTGTCCATACACTGCTGCAACTATTTTTAAATTATCATCAGCAAAAATTCACTTGCATGTGATATTAATGGTATTGTTCAATAATTTCTGCAGTATATTGGATAACCTCTTTTTGAAATGGGCACAACTGTGAATTTTGTCCAGTTGGGTGGTTTGATTGGTGACAAGTTTCTTGACTTAGATGAGTGAGCACTTCTAGCATTTTGATCATTTGCTGTAACATCTCATTGGTATTCTGTCAATTTCTGGAGTCTTGTTTTCACCAGAAGCCCTGGTGGTACAGTGGTTTAATGTTCAGCTGCTAACCAAAAGGTCAATGGTTTAAATCCATCAGCTGATCCATAGGAGAAAGATACGACAGTCTGCTTTACTTAATATTTCAGCCTTGGAAACTCTCTTCAGCAGTTCTACTCTGCCCCATAATATCACTATGAGTTGGATTAAACTTGACAGCAATGGGTTTAGGGCTTTTTGGTTTTGTTTTTCACTGGTGTCTTCCATGCAACATGGACATCTTCCTTCAGTACTATTAGCTCTTGATCATATGCTACCTCCTGAAATGATTTAACATCAACCAATGCTTTTTGGTATAGTGACTCTGTATTCTTTCCATCTTTTTTTGATGTTCCATTATTGTCGTTCACCAGCTGCTCCTTGAAAACCCTATACAGGGTTGCTATGGGTTAGAATTGACTCGATGGCATTTAGCAAGAACAACAACAATTATTGTCATTCAATGTTTTGCCCATGGAATCCTTCATTATTTCAACTTGAGGCTTGAATTGTTTCTTGAGTTCTTTCAACTTGAGAAATGCTTAGCATATTCTTCCCTTTTGGTTTTCTAAATCCAGGTCTTTGCACATTTCATTATAGTACTTGACCATTTCTTCTCCAGCTGCCATTTGGAATTTTCTATTCAACTCTTTTACCTCCTCATTTCTTCCATTTGCTTTAGCATCTTTATGCTTGAGAACAAATTTCAGAGTCTCTTCTGACATCCAATTTGGTCTTTTCCTTCTTTCTTGTCTTCTTAATAACCTTTTGCTTTCTTCCTATATGATGTTCTTGATATCTTCTCACAACATCCCTGTTTTTGGCTATGGGCTCTTTAGCACAGCAAGGCCTATTTGTACAACTGCCCATGAGCATTATACTTAACTTTATCTTCTCAAGCTACCCTTTGAAATCTTCTGTTCAGCCTTTTTACTTCATCATTTCTTTCTTTCTCTTTAACTATTCTATGTTCAAGAGTAAATTTCAGAGTGTCTTCTGGCATTCATTTTGACCTTTCTTTTCTGTCTTTTTAATGACCTTTTCCTTTTTTTTGTGTATGTCATCCCCCAACTCTTCTGGTCTTTGGTCAGTAGTATTCAATGCTTCAATTCTATTCATGAGATGGTCATTAAATTCAAGTATTCAAGCTTCAATTTGAGCTTGCATATGAGCCACTGACTCCTAGCTTTGTCCTGACTGATGATATTGAGTTTTTCTATCACTTCCTTCCATGACATCATTGATTTGGTTCCTGTGTATTCAATCCACCAAGGTCCACTTGTAGTTAATGTTTATGTTATTGAACAAGGTATTTGAAATGAATAAATCGTTGGTATTGCAAAATTCTGTTGTGTAGTCCTTGGATCATTTCTTTCATCAAGGCCACATTTTCCAACTACTGATCCTTCTTTGTTACCAACTTTTGTATTCCAATCATCAGTAATTAATTATCATTGCATCTTGATTGCCTGTTGGATAATTTCAGTTAACGTTTAATGTGGACATAGTACAGGCTAACCACTTGGGTGAACTTTCTCAGAGATGCCAGAATCAAGCTTGCCCTGCCTCCCTGAAGACAGAGTGCTGATGATGAAATTTCCATCTGAAGAAGGCAGTGAGAGTAAATAAGGGGCCAGTGTTCCTCTGGTCTCAGCCTTGGAGTAGCAGTGGCCAAGGATGTGCTGGTGGCTTCTCAGTCATACAGGATTGGTCTGTGAACGTCATGCCTGCGGTTGCCTTAGGGTCTTTACTTGAACAGTTTGGTGTGTGGTTTGGGAATTTCAGTGTTGTTCCTGACATTTAGCTTCAAATCTGACTCTATACTAAGCTACTTAATATATTTTATTAGAGTCCTGGTATGCTGCTCTGGGCTAATGTGCTGGACTGAAAAGATGGTTTGAACCACATGGACAATGGTTCAAGCTCACTAGGTGTTTCTTGGAAATCCTATACAGGGCCTCTGTGGGTTAGAACTGGCTTGATGGCACTTAAAAACAGTAATGACAATGTATTTTATTCTCTTTTTCATTTATCCAGAGTAGCTTTTATTATATAACTCAGAACTCTGACTGATGGTTATAAAAATATGGAAGGCTAGAGTTATATATGATAAAAATTGTTCTTTGAAGTTTATTATGTTGCACATAGCATAATGTGAGACCCACAGCATTACAGGTATACATATTGAAGAGCCATATTGCAGGCAAATGCACAGCTTTAAATACTAGGTTGTTCACACTAAGTGTGGAGCAGCACTTCCTAACTCTCGGTACCTGAGAATTTGCTAATTGAGTGGAATGGAGCCTGAATGATTTAAACTGCTTCTTTCTTTTTGCTGAGAGTACATGGGATTTGCATAAGTTGAAAGTGCTAATAATGTGAATTTACTGTGATATTAAATAAAAGAGAGAAATCTCCAGGCATAGAACTCACATAAATGCCTGGTAGGTGAGTTTCTAGATTACTGAGTTATTCCAAAAGACTAGAATGTAAGCTCTATGATTCTGCTCTGCCTCTAGGTCCAGATAGACCCTTAGAAAATAACTTAAACTATCTAGTATTTATGCAGACATGTTTCTCTCTTGATCATACTGTGAGAAAAGCTAACATATATAAAGTGTTGAGCTTCTTGTGAAATATTCCCCTTAATAGTTGGAGACTACATATTTCCTTTATTTGAGATTGCAATCTGGTAATTTTCCACAGCCTTAGATAATTTTCCATGTGTTTTTAAGTGTCTGAAACACTGCACAGAATGTGCACAGAGTACACGGAATATATGACTTCAGCAGCTGCAGAACCTACGTTGTGCAAAATGTACTCCTTATTAGGCCTCCTTGAATGTTCTTTTAAAACCCAAATGCCAAACCTGTTGCCACCAAATCTATTCTAAGTCATGGTGACCCCATGTGCTGCGGAATAAAACTGCTTTGTAAGAATTTCAAGGTTAACCTTTTGGAAACAGATTGTTAGGCTTTTCTCCTGAGGTGTCTCTAGGTGGGTTCAAACCACCAATGGTACCTGGTATGGCACTGCAGGATAATGCACTGGACTGCAAGGTCAGTTTGAATCACAAAGTTGGTGGTTCAGACCCATCAGCTGCTCCTCGGAAACCGTAGACAGGGTCCTTATGAGTTGGAACTGATTCAAGGCACTGAATAACAACATTATGCCATTTATAACACCCAGGAACTTCAAAATAAAAAGAAAGTTTCAGTAATTAACATATTGACATTTCCCCAAATGCAACAGAATAGACTCTAGAAACACTCATAAGGATGGTCACTTGACTTACAACCAAGATGCCACTGCAGTCTAGTAAGGAAAAGATAGTCTTATTAATCTGTCTTCTGAGGCACCTCTGCATGAGTTTGAATGACCAAGCTTTCAGTTAGTAGCCAACTGCTTAACCATTGTGCCACCTAGGAACTCTGAAATGTGCTGATAAGCATACCAAAAAGGAATAGCTCTTCTTTACCTTTATTTCATTTTTCTTTTTCTTTCAGGCCCTTATCTCTCAGCAAGATGACACATTTGTTTTTGAGCTGGAGACCTCAGCTGTTGCTCTCTTTGTCTGGTTGGATGTAGGGAGAATTCCAGGGAGATTTAGTGACAATGGTTTCCTCATGACTGAGAAGACACGAGCTATATTATTTTACCCTTGGAAACCCACCAGCAAGAGTGAATTAGAACAATCTTTTCATGTGACTTCCCTGGCAGATATTTACTGAGGGAATCCAAGTTGTATTTTCAGTGGATGATGGAAATGAAGCGTTTCTAAAGCAGTGGAAGGAGATGAAGACAACCAAAGAGAACTTTAAGAAACTGAGAGATGTTTGATTAATTAATCACTCCTTGACACGTTTGCACAGTGAATACTCTCAGGAAAGACTGTTTAGTCAGATGATGTCTTCAAACAAGGCTTGCATTAGAGTCTAACATTTAAAAAACATTTGGTTTGTGGAACACAATGGCCCACAGTGGAAATCCTAGTTCTATTTGAGCTTTGATGTAAATTCAGACGCTGTCTTGAGTTCATTATATTGTTTCCCCAAACTTCTGACCAGTGAGCTACCAATGTGGCCATGATAAATCAAGGAAATTCCAAGGAGATTCAGTTTGTCCTCAGGAAGAACAGATTAACTCATTTACAGAAAGAAGCTCAAACAAAGAACTAGGAAACTTCCCCCGACTATCCATTTTAGATAGAAGAAGATATTTGGATAAGGGTAATTAAATTACCACTCCTATTTTCTGTCCTCCCCACTTTTTTTTTTTTTTTTTTTTTGGTTTCTTAGTTCAATTAAGTCTCTCATGACTGTTGTAACTTAAAACTTATACCAATGATTACTTGAAAAACAATAATATGGTTCAATTTTTTTTTAGTAAATCTATGGGAAGATGAATTGTAATTTTTATAGATACTATTGACTTTGTGGAGTCCTGGTGTGGTACTGTAGGATAAGCACTTGACCACAAGGTCTGTTTGAATGACAAGGTTGGATGTTCAAACTCACCAGCCACTCCTTGGAACCCTATAAAGCGTCGGCTATGGGTTTGAACTGACTTAACAGCACATAACAGCAATAACAATTGACTTTGTAAGGTTCTTTTGTAGGTACCCTGACATTAAACATCACCAAAGATTTTATATGAGCTTCAGATTTGGCTAAATCCTATGAACTTATCAACTTGAATGGATTTATACTTATTGACCCTGGCAGCAAAGTGCTGTTCCCTTTAACTTGAGTTTAAATCATTTAATTTTATTGATTAATTACATGTTGCTATTAAAATTCTTTCATTACATATTATAATGTCTATAAACTTACAGTGACAGTAACACAAATGGGCAAAATGTTAATAAATGCAAATTTGGCTATCAGAAAAAAGATCCCAGATTCAAACATGTTCTATTGAGGCTTTTTAAATAAGCCTTAAACAGGACAAGGAAAAAACGGTCAGTCATCCCAGATGAAGGAAGCCATCAGAGGCAGATGAAATTCACTGTTTCACAGCCATGGTTTTCATAATCCCAAGACCATAATTGGTGGCAGGTCAATCCATCACTGTCACCTGAGGAGCTATAGAAGCAAGGAAATGACCATGATTAGTTCAGGGGCTTTGACTATCTGGCTGCTGATGGTCAGGGATTAAGTCATGATCATGTTAGCTTGAGTCATCGCCACAAGGTGAATATGAGACAATACCAGAACTCCAACCCCCAACTTAAGCTCAATAGGCATATGATAGTCTAATTTTGGTAAATGCCCAGGCAAGTTCCCCAGTTCTTTGTGTGCATATCTTTGGATATACTTGTTAACCTTCTTTCAACCACACTCTTGCTAAGGGCAAAATGCCCCACCCTGGGTTTGCTCCAGACTTTTTTAAGCACAGCCATATGTAGTGGTTAGAATCGGGCTGCAAACTTCAAGATCAGCAGTTCGAAACTACCCGCTGTTCCATGGGAGAAAGATGAGGATTTCTGCTCCCATGAAGATTTACAACATCAGAAACCCTGTACAGGGTCGCTATGAGTTGGAACCGGCCCCAGGGTATATCACCACCACCGCCACTATATTGCTGATTTAATGGTCATCAAGCACTGGGGAATTAATATAAAGAAGTCAAGTGGTCTTTGAACATATGTCAAGATTCAAAAAGAAGTTATGAATCTAGGTACTGTCCACAGTTTTCCACAAACCAAGTGCTTCAGAATCTAAGCTCTAATAAAGTAGATAGAAATTATTATAGGAATGATTTTGCTCTTGCATCATTTTTGTAAGTTTGAAATTGTTTCAAAATTAAAAAGTTATGTGCATTGTATTTACAACTTCATATTTCGTGTGTGGTTTATTCAGTCATCTTATAAATGTGTATTGTGTCTGCATATTGTACTGGGCATTTCTTTCCATTAAGCTCTGACTAAAAATCAGCTCAGCTGAAAGTGAAGAAGACTTAAAATATTTACTGATGAAGATCAAAGAGCACAGCCTTCGGTATGGATTGCATCTCAATGTAAAGAAAACAAAAATC